GTAAATAATCAAGTCTGGACCAGACAATCCAGTGATTGATATCATGAGCATCAATCCACGCATTTGGGATCGATGACATGCATCAACCAAGTCAGCGAGCCTGACCACCCGATCCCGTTAGTCGCCTTTTACGACAAGCATAGTCACCTTTTACGGCAAGCATGGGTTGCTGAAGACCTATTCTACCCCGGAATCTTCACAGGTCCCCATACGAAAGACCTATGACTTCCTGTAGTGCAGCTAAGGAGTCATTATGAACCCCAATTTTAAGAGGCTTGGGCAAACCCTGTATCCCCTGCTTACATAAGGACCTTCACATGAAGTTTTCTCACTTTATTCACTGGCATTTACTTTATTTATGACAATCACTGGATTGTCTGGTTCAGACTCGATTATTTACAGATCACCGTCATATAACTGGAATATTGTTGAGTGCGGTGTTAAACAACAAACAAACTTTATTTATGAAAATTGTGTGAATGGTTGGTGCTACCAGCAGAGCAGGACATGTGATTTTGTTAATGTCCTTTACAAGAAAGGGGTAAACTCATTTTTCCCTTGTAATTGGGAGAAGGAAAGGTCAATAAATTGGTTAGGTTTCAAAACTGAAGACAAAATGCACAGCAATTTATTCCTGAATCTTTTTGAATCAAGTTGAAGATACACATGAAAAAAAAAAAAATTCTAACATCAATCAAAACTCTTCATGTTACAAATGTGGAAGTGATCTTTTTTAGTTCTGTCAGACTACGAAGATATGTTTACCACCTGTTTGAAATAAATATAGATCCTCAACAGAAACGTAACCTAAAACACTGATTGGCAGAAAAAATAAGTTAGCATGGAAAATGAGAAACTATTTTTTTAATTTTTACACCTTACTAAAAATGCAAGAACTTTGACAGTACAGTAATTAGGGAAAATATTTATGTGTTCATTACAGCAAGTTGAAAAAAATAGGCTCTAGTTATCATTAAAAAGGTTTTGGTGAAGGCAATAATGGTTGAAATGAGTACCAGAAATGTTTTTCACGTTCACCAAATTACATTCAATACTAGTGGAGTTGTATCTGGGACAGAAGCTTCACCACATTTAGATCCAGTATCCCCCTTAGGGAAGACAAAGAATATCTGATCTCAACTAAACATCCCTTTTGCATGCTGAAACAACATTTTTAAAGATGGATGCCCTCAAGCTACCATCATGCACCACACTTCCTGTTCAGCTCCATCTGGTGGCCATGTAAGAAGTACATCTAGAAGCAGCTGGTGAAAACTCAAGTTTCCAGCTCTGTTTTCTTATCAGGTCACTGCACGTTTACAAAAATCTAACCAGGTTTGTCAGAGAGACTTGCGGAATCAATCACTCACACCATGATGATAATTGATTTACTTCTTTCGCAGTCCTGTTTGTGGGTCCTTCCCAGACAAACAGCAACACACAATGACTATAGCTGTTAGACAGGCTCCCTCTGTCTCGTAATACGAAATGACAAGAATTTCAATTGCCTAATCCTTCATATTAGATGAATGAATTATCAATATAAAACTGAAAGCTTCAGTGAAAACAAAATGACAACATGATCAATTGTGACTACAGCTGCTTGTTTAGATACTTTTCTTGGGTATACAAGAAATAGATTTTCAATGAGTGAGTGTGTGAGTGAGCATCATGTGTTTAGCGCCACTTTGACCAGAATTTCAGTAACACATTGGAGTAGGTCTTTGGGCCGGCTGTTGCATGAGTGAACAACCCACATGGTTTCTATTGGTTTCCTTATAAGGGGGTCGTAAGTGTAGGGGGCCAGTAATTCTCATTTTGTTTCAAAGGCTTCCTTAGAGTGATTCCTTTGTCAAATATTTCACCATGACATTTTAGAATCCTGCATTCTGATTGTCGCTGATGACTATAGAAGAAAACACTTATTCAGAAGCATATACTGACCTTACTTCTTTAGCATTGCTTAATAATGTTTTGTAATTCCTCCATTATTTACGGCAAGTGTGGCAATATATTTCAAGCAGAAATATTAATGAACAAATACTTAGAGAGTGTATTGTAAACTGTCAGTAACATCAAACGGCTTGACTTCTGGGGCGTACTGTGTCACACACAAGGACATCATATTTACTGCATCATAACGCTTGAATGCCGATCTGTAGATGTTATCATGATAGTGGTGCTACATTACATAGGCCGCTTCATTTTCTGTTAGGGGTTTCAGTTTGAATAATACTTACAGTATATCTGTCTACATGATTTTATTGTGTCTCCATGATGTCGTTCAAGTACCATGGTGGAAATCATTACCCATAGGGTTCGAAAAATTCATAAAAATCATACGGGCAGTAGTGCAAATATCAGTTCTCACCAGAGGGTATTGTTTCAGTCATCTGAACGGCATTGATAACGTCATTAAAATCTTATTATGATGTAAGGTCGGAATGACGTCACACTAGAAATGGCGTCATAGCTGAAGATTGTTGATATCATGATATCATTCGACGAATTGTAGTTTTCTGGGACAGCAGTGGTGATTAATGCATTTTGCTGAAGGGGAGCTAAAAAAAAGTTAAGAGTGAGTGAGTATGGTTTTATCATTCATAAATTGTAGTAAAACGTAATAGTACTTCCAAATATGGCATACATTTCTTGGAATGGAATAACGTGAACATTTCTAGGAAATTTAAGGAGCGAAGTAATGGGACTGTCAACAGACTATCGCAGACAGAAAAATCCAGTATATCTTATTGAAATTAAGGGCGATGATGTTGCGTCAGGATAAATGCATTTGATATTTCTTTGGCGAATTTTGTAACCAACATCGCACCAAATACTCAGAAAACCTGCATCGTAACGAAGCCTGACAACTGGTCGGATTGAACACGTCGTCAACTGGTCAAGCTACCGATTGTGAAATTTCAATATCTGTTTGCGTTTATCTGAGATGTTCTTTGAACGAAAGTTATATGGGTAGATTGTGCTGGGTTTATTTTTGGAGGAGGAAAATGCAAACGGAAATTAAGCAAGCTGTACGTATAAGAAACTTATTGATTATTTATTGTTTCAAAATATTTGGTTTTCTTTGTAACATTATTAAAAATAAAAGTTGGAAATTATCTTATCTTCACTATCTTAAAAATCTCCCCCTTTGGAGTCAAATCTCCCCCATTTTGAAGTCAAATCTCCCACATTGTCATGATGAGGGGTTGACAGGTCTGCAATTCTACAAAACAGAATGGCTCTAGCATTAACTATCACAATCGATCAACATTGATGGGTGTCCATTTGACCAAAAGGAGGTTCCAAATATGACAGTGTTTGGCTTGGTTTGTGCTAACAATCCACAGATCAATTAGTCAAATGAATGTTTGTTGACAGAAGCGGGCTCTTCTCCACTAATTGTCAGCCTTGTCTGACGTTTCAGATACCAAGGGTTGCTAGTCTCCCACAGTTGCCATGACGAGTTACAAGTTGCTCTTGTCACTACACAGATGTCCTGAAGTTTCAGAGTGATATGAAAATAAAGGGACCCACTGCCTGTAATAAACATACCAACTAGATGTAGAATAATGAGCAAACAGTACCATTGAACGATTGAACGATTGAACAAACAGTGCAATCTGCACCTGCAACCAAAATTGTGCTGGTGCATGTTTGTTGTTTAACTCCGCTCTCAACAATATAATTTGTTTGTTTGTTGTTTAATTGCAATATTGCAATATATATATATGGACCAGACAATTCAGTCATCAAGAGCATCGATCCATGCAATTGGTATACAATGACATGCATCAACCAAGTCAGCTAGCCTGACCACCCGATCCCATTTGTCGCTTCTTACGGCAAGCATGGTTGCCAAAGAGTGTTGCAAAATGAGTGAGCCAATAAATAATATTCAATGTAAAAAAGTAAAACACAAAATATTTCAAGGCTTAATTTCTCACCAAAACCCATCTGCCTCACTTCATAACAGGAATCCTTTGGGCAAGTGGAATTTTATTGTGTTTTAGAACTTGACAAAGTTATTATTATCATGATTATTCAGCAAGTGGGAAAACAGGTCAACTTCCTGGTTCACTATTGAAACAGGAAGTTGAAATCTACATAATCTTGTATATCGCTCTGAAATGTCAAATCCAAAATGTCCATCCAAGATCGAAATCTCATAATGATGAGAGCTCCGGTTTACTGTTCCCGCCCATTGGGACCTTGATGTGTTGCATCTGTGGAATGTACACACAAGTCAAATATTTTAAATCTAAGTGCCTGTGGCTAACCACAAATGTAGCAATGTTTTTGTTTCTGCAAGACTTGCCTGACCAGATGCAGGCCAGCAGGCCTACAGCCATGACAAACAAGGATCTGTATCTCACAACAAAAATAGCATCTGCTTCAAATATCTGAAGGCTGTGATATATGGACTATATTGCAAGACTCACCACTACCCCACTAGTCATATCACCGGCGTAGGGATGTCGATACGCTCTCTTGTACCGCCATTGCTATACAGTAAACATGTAGACTGAACACGCTCTCGTTATCTATGCATAGACTCACGACCTTAGAAGCCTCGATAGCATAGAAATATTACATGGTGGCAGCTAGCGAAACGATCTACGCCAGATGGGAGACGAAACATGTCAAGAAACGGCAAATTCAAGCTTTGAGTGCAAAATATCAAACGGCAAACCGTGAGTGCGAACTATTCAGTCTGATGTAGAAAACGGGACAATCTAAAGATTTCGTCACTCTGTGCTTCGGCTTAGGAAAGTGTCGGCATCAAATCGACCGTTCATTCTATTCAAAATACGAATCTGCATCGCCAATAAGCTCAGCAAAACGAACTATATATATACGGGAAGATAGAGGGACACCGTAACCTTATCACACACCACGTGCGATCCAAGATGGCGGCGCCCATAATGTAAACATCCGCTACATAGCGGCAAGCATCTATACCCACCTGTAAGCAAGGCTAGCGGTATTTAAACAGGGAAATGGATTCGGTGGCCCTTCCCAAGCTCAACTGGTCAAGTGACGAAATAGCAAACGACTTTAGGCTTTTCAAACAACGATGTAAACTGTACTTCTCGGTGAAAAACATCAAGAATGACAAACAGGTCGACCACATTCTTCTGTTCACCGGAGACGACGGACTCAAGGCCTTCAACTCATGGACACTAACTGAAGAGGAAGCGAAGGACCCGCAAGTAATTTTCAAGAAATTTGAAGCCCACTTGGAGCCAAGAAGTAACTTCAGAGTGCAGAGATTCTACTTACAAAGATACAGGCAAGACACATTGGAATCAGTCGACAACTATATGACTAGATGCAAACTACAGGCCTTTAAATGTCGTTTTGGGGAAGCCGAATTAAAAGAGAGATTAATTGAACAATTAATCATTGGGACAAGGATTCCGGAGTTGCAGAAGGAATTATTAGGCAAAGATGAACAGATGTCATTGGATCAAGCCATGGATATAGCTAGAGTGCATGAGGCATCCATCAACAACATGGCCCAACTGCAAGGGGTACAGACAACGAAGACTGACATTCACCAAGTAAGGAAAGAGCAGCCATGCAAATACTGTGGACGGCAACACCCACCGAATCGCTGTCCAGCTTATGGCAGTGAATGTGAAAACTGTGGCATAAGAAACCACTGGAAAGTGATGTGTAGAAGGAACGCCACACAGCACACACCATACAGGGGCAGAGCAAGAGGCAACAGTCGAGGCAGAGGTCGTGGTCAGCCTCACACTAGAAGGCCACACAGAGGTAGAAGTAGGTCACGACAAGGACAACGTTCAGTGAATAGCATGACAGGTAATGATGACCTGGATTTCGAAACAGCTTTCGAAACACTAACATTCGAGTCACTTTCAATTGATGCTATACTCAACGACAGAGACACTAGAGACGAGGTTTTCGTGACCCTCAATATCAGTCTAGAAGACAGACCACAGCAAGCAGCCACCCTCAAAGCCAAAGTCGACACAGGAGCCCAAGGTAACCTCCTACCCCTGCGCATATACCAACGTATGTACCCAAATACACTGGACAGCAATGGGAAGCCCAATGCAAACTCAACTAAGCAGAGCAGCACCATACTGAGAGCCTACAACGGCACACGAATAGCCCAGTATGGTAAAATATCCTTACCCTGCACCTTCAATGGCCACACATCTCAAGCAGACTTCTTCATCTCAGGCGAAGAAGGACCGGCCATCCTTGGACTCCCTACGTGTAGGCAGCTGAGAGTCGTAACCCTCAATTGCGAAATAAAAGACTCACCTCCAAAGCAGAAGGTTGACGGGAAAGAAGACCTAATAAGAAGCTACCCAGACAGATTTCAAGGCATTGGCCAGTTCAAGAAAGAGTGTCATATTACAGTCGACCCCTCAGTACCGCCAATGATACATGCGCCAAGAAGATGCCCCATCCACCTCAAAGACGAGATAAAAGCTGAACTCGACGAGATGGAAAAAATCAAGGTCATCGCCAAAGTTACGGAACCAACTGACTGGGTGTCAAGCCTGGCATACAGCAGGAAAGCTAGCGGCAAGCTCAGGGTATGCCTGGACCCGAAAGACTTAAACACAGCCATTAAGAGGCCCCATTATAAAACCCCTACCCTTGAGGAGATAACCCACAAATTCTCAGGAGCGACAGTATTCTCCAAACTGGACGCAAGGCATGGCTATTGGTCTGTCAAACTCGACGAGGAATCCAGCATGCTGACGACCTTTAACAGCCCATTTGGCCGCTACAGATTCCTAAGACTCCCCTTTGGATTGAATCTGAGCCAAGATGTGTTCCAAAAGAGTATGGACATGATCCTAGAAAAGTGCCCAGGCACAGTTGGCATAGCAGACGACATCGCGGTATTCGGCAAAAATAAAAAGGAGCATGACAACAACTTGATCAACCTCATGGAGGCCGCCCAACAAAGCGGCCTGGTATTCAACCCTGGGAAATGCGAAATCAAGACCGACCAGATCAAATTCTTTGGACTTGTATTCGATGCAGAAGGTGTCCACGCCGACCCAGACAAGGTAAAGGCCATCAGGGAAATAGGATACCCAAGCGACGCCAAACAGCTCCAAGAATTCTTAGGCATCGCAACATACATGGGACCATTTATTCCCCACCTTTCCCAGATAACCGCACCACTCAGGGAACTGATCAAGAAGGACGTGGAATACAAGTGGTCAGAGTCCCACCAATCGTCGTTCAACAAGATCAAAGAGACCATCTGCAAGAAAGTAACGCTGACTTACTTCAACCCCACACTGGACTCCACTCTCAGAGTGGACGCTTCCATGAAAGGTCTCGGAGCAGTCCTGCTGCAAAACGAAAAGCCGATAGCATTCGCCTCAAAATCTCTAAGCGAGACAGAGCAAAGGTACGCAAACATAGAGAGGGAGATGCTCGCTGTTGTATTCGGGTGTGAACGCTTCCATACATATTTATACGGGAAACAGTTCATCGTGGAAACAGACCACAAACCATTGGAGATGATCCACCTCAAAAACCTGTCAGCAGCCCCCCAACGACTTCAAAGAATGCTACTACGGGTACAGCCTTACGACGTGACCATCAAATACAGACCGGGAAGTATGATGGAGGTGGCAGACGCCCTCTCCCGATCACCCGGCAAGACCAGCAAGACAATCGACTTGGACATCCGTGTAGACCTGACACAGTTCTCCGACAAAAAGATACAGTCCCTAAAAGAAGAGACCAGTAAGGACGCTACACTACAAGCTCTAAAAGAGATCATCTTGGAAGGCTGGCCTGAAAGACCAAAGCAACTACCAGCCCCCATCAGGCCCTACTGGGCATACAGGGACGAACTATCCATTGAGGATGGATTACTGCTGAAGGGGGATTGTGTCATCATCCCAACAAGTATGAAGCAAGAGATACTAGGAAAACTACACGAAGCACATCAGGGGATAGAAAAGACCAAACTCAGAGCGAAGACATGTGTCTTTTGGTGCGGCATCGGGACCGACATTGAAAACATGGTAAAAAGCTGCCATGTGTGCCAAGAGTTCCAGAAATGCCAACCTGCAGAACCCCTGCTCCAACATGAACTTCCCACACGACCGTGGCAAGTGCTGGGAACCGATCTATTTTACATGGAGGGAGAAGAATACATCATAGTAAGTGACTACTATTCTAAATTTCCCATAATCAGGAAGATGTCCGGAGGCAGCAGAGGTACCATCTCAACACTGAAAGCCATATTTGCAGAACAAGGCATACCAGAGAAAGTCATTAGCGACAACGGGCCACATTTTTCAGCTGAACGATTTCAAGAATTTGCCAAAGCCTGGGGATTTACCCATATAACATCCAGCCCACACTATCCCCAGTCGAACGGCTTCATAGAGCGGCAAATCCAAACAACAAAACGAACACTGCAAAAAGCCAAGCTCTCCAACATCGACCCCAACATGGCTATGCTCATATTACGTGCAACCCCAATCGATCATAACCTTCCATCACCAGCTGAACTCCTAAACACCCGGAAAATGAAATCGAACTTACCAATGAGGGTCAAAAACCACAACACCATGCGGGAAGACGTTAGACGCCATCTAGAAGAACGACAACTTCAGCAAAAGGAACACTTTGACAACAGGGCAGGTGAGGAGCTTCCGCCACTTATCCCTAACCAGCCTATCAGTGTCAGAGACCAACAATCTGGAAGGTGGAAGAATGCCACTATAGTAGGAAAATCACCAGAGCCAAGGTCATACATAGTGGAAACCACAGAAGGCTCCATCCTACGTCGCAATCGACGTGATCTCAGGGAGATCACTGAGGAAAAGAGAAACACCAGCGCTGCCCCACTCGAACCACTGAGACAGGGAAACCAATCTACCTCGCCCCACCAAAACCAGCGGCGGGTCTCCTTCAACCCTAAGGACAACAAACCATCAACCAACAAACAGCTAGACAAGTTCGAGAAGCGCCCAACCACCACAACATCGCAGGGCCATTGTGATCCCAGCTCAGAGACAGTTGTATGTCGAACAAGAGCCGGAAGAGAAGTGCGACGACCAAAGCACTTGAATGAGTGACTCTAAATATAAATGTGAAATATAAAAGCAGACTAGTTACTCCTAGTGTGCCAAATAGGGTAGCAGACTAGAATAGCTCAGCCAACAGTTATGTTATGTTATGTTATGTTATGTTATGTACAAAGTGATCTACCTCAACCTACTGTGTCATGAACTGCTCAAGAATACCAAAGAACTTTAAAAGTGCAATTAGTTGAAAGTGCATTTATCTTGCACAGTGAGACCATCCGTCAACTTTCTCATCAATCATAATGTAATCAATTCCATGTTGTCCATCATATACTACTGATATCCACACGCCGTAAGTACCTTATCAAAAGAAGGGGGATGTGATATATGGACTATATTGCAAGACTCACCACTACCCCACTAGTCATATCACCGGCGTAGGGATGTCGATACGCTCTCTTGTACCGCCATTGCTATACAGTAAACATGTAGACTGAACACGCTCTCGTTATCTATGCATAGACTCACGACCTTAGAAGCCTCGATAGCATAGAAATATTACAAAGGCCATTTATCTTACAAATAAAGAAGAGTAATATCCATCTGGCCTGTTTGTACTTTCAACAGATTATCAAGGACTCAAAACACAACATGAAATTTATCAAGGTGTCAAACTTGGGTCATTATCTGTGATTATGTTTTTGGAATTTAACATTTCCAAACATGATTGATAATAGCAGAATTTGCAAGTTGACAAGATGCATTCATGAAACATTAGCAGCAGGCCATTGCTTCTTTGCCTCAACAGCTGCCGAGCAATCAATAACTCTAGAACAGACTTGGTTTGATGAACATTATATTTTATTTTAATGCTTTCAGTAGTAACATCTCCAGCCTTGAGTGTGGAATGATTGCCATATGTAATGCTTGCATCTTTAGCAAATCATGACTCTAAGACTCAAGGAGAACCTTTTTTCAAACATTTCTATCAAATCAGTTGAAACTGACAATATCTGAGGGTTGTGTTGTTGAATGTTGTTCTGCTGTTATATTGGTGATGCACACACCAATAACAATAAGCCTGAAATTGGTGCCCATGGTGGGAATAAACCTGGATTATTTCCATGAAATGAAAACACACCTACCACTGGGCTCAGAAAAAAGGTGGGAACAATTAACAGGTCGGAAAATAAGTTGAGTGAGTGAGTTGGGATTAACACCACCTTGAACAGTAACCTAGTTACATTACAGCATGTCAGCTTAATGTGTGAGGAAAACCCAAAGTGAAGCAGGTCTCAGACATTTACCACTTGGTGAAACCCATGAGCACGGGTATGGTGCTCACAAACTTAGAAACATAATTGGGCCGATCACACAATCATAGGTTGCTGGTGTGCCCAAGGTATGCAACACTGCACAGCAAGTTAAAGTGTCTTAGCCAACTGGGACACCTAAGCCCAAGAATATCAGTGGAACAAGTGATGAGCACCCAACAGATCAGGGACCCCGTAACAAAGTAGTAGCAAAAATATGATGAAACGGTTTTATGTTTTATAACACAACTTCTTGTACTTCTGTTTTCAGCTTCCCATCTATTAGGTTTAATATAAGTAAGGCTGTGGTTCTGATAATACTGAATTTCACCATAGGGTAATTTAGCAGGTAGGAAGATAGGAAGGTAAAAGCAACTGTACTATATAAATGCACTGTAAGTGAGCACTATACATATATAAATACGGTTATGTGTGCCCTTTGTACTACAGGGTTGGGTTCTGCACAAGAGCATCAATTTGTGTGTCCAAATGGGGTGGGAGGCTTCTTCGTATCTGTCTGTAGTGTTCCACAAAATCATTTCCACTTACCGTTACCTTAACCTCAAACAACAGTAATCCTGCCCTTGTTTGCTATCAATGTGGCAATCTCTGAATTGTCTTCAACTTCCCAAAACACAATTGTAACTTAGACAAGTAAAATATCAATCTCCATAATTCAACCATTATGGTGACATCACGCTATTGTTGTTGCACTTGATTCTGAGCCAAAAACTGACTGGCTATTCTGAACGTGCATTTTCACTGATGCAACTATAGGTCATCATGCAAAACTATGGAGAAATCATACATCAGCCAGAACAAGGTTTAAGTCGGAAAGAGGTAAATTCATTCTTCTTCTGGGAACAACAGATTTGAGTGATTTCTCCATTACATATTAATTCTTTTCAAGATCTCTGAGTGTAACTGTACAATGACCCTCTACCCAGCATGCTCATGATACCTTGGCCCAGAGGTTCTTGTTGTGGTCCTCACCGTGTTCCACCCCGCCCAACACTATACTGACAAAACCACAGTGGTCAAAGTGTGACCCTTTACCACTGTACTCCTTCAGTTCCCAGGACTCACACCATCACCAAGGTGGCCACTCCCCCCTCCCCACGATTGTCCTTCCCAAAGGAAAGCATACAACACATTAATCATTGTACACCCAATTACAATGATAAATCATTCCCCAAGGTGACCACTTATCCACCTAGACCCAAATGCACCTGTTTCGCCTCCCACCCTCCCTAAGGTTAATGTGACCCTTTTACAATTGCACCATTGTACACCTAACATTACAATGATAAATCATCATTCCCTGAGGTGACACTATCTACCTCCACCAAAATGCACCTGTTTTGCCTCCCACTCCCCAAAGGTAAGTGTGTGACCCCTTTTATCATGGTGCCATTGTAAACACTGCATAGCAGTGATAAAGCAGCACCATTCCCCAAGGTGACCACTTAGCCCCCTCCACCAAAACGCACCTCTTCCTCCCTTCCTCTCCCCTCCCTCCCTAAGGAAAGTGTGTGACCCCTGCTATCTCATCAGTTGCCCATCCTGTCTGTCCGCTTCTGCTGATGAGATTATCTGTCTGATCATCCATGGAGGATTCAGACAAAAGGGGGATACCTTCAAGGGCAGTCATATCTCGGTTCATCTCAACAAAACAAGTCCAGAAATGTGGACAATGCCTCAGAGATAGATTGAGAAAGAATTTCAGCATTTCTGTTGTTTTGTCTTGGAACCTTTGGGTTCCATTTCAAGTTGGAAGCGAATCACACACTGATGATGCAGATACTGCCATGCTTTCTTAGTGTCATGTGTTGTGTTGGGGAGCCAGAGCCTTTTGAGGTACAGCTCTGTTCTTGATGTCTAATGACTTCATTCTTTCTATGTGAGATAGCAAGATTGATCTCTCCAGGCAAATACACACATTTGCAGTAATACAAACAGAATTATATAACAGAACCTTAAATATACGTGTCCTAATATAAATATGCTCTTACATCTTCAATGATTCAGAGTAATGCACACATCTGTATACAGAGAACATAGTGTAGTAGATATTACATGGATGAGAATATTTGCTTACTTCAGTACTTCAAACAAATAACGACGCCTACAATGATAACATGCTTATCTTGTTCACAGATAACTGTTTGTGAGTTTCTTGGGCTAAAGAAATCATCAAAGAAGTGTGGCTTCTTTCAGTCTCCTTAGGCTTGAGTTTTGAACCTATATATTGATTCTACATGACTATGGCAACTGATTGTCAGTTCTGACAAAATGCAGGTTTCTTTCAAACAATTGTGGACTGACACAAAAATCCCTGAAAATATCTGGTCACAAGTACATCCTTCAGAACCTTAAGCAAAACTGTCACGTGTCTATAGTTAGCAGGTACCTTGCTGTTGCACTTTGGCCCATGGTCACTAGAACAAACAGGCATACTATCACTTGAGTGAGTTTGGATTAACCCTGCTTTAATTGTCAGCTTGATTTTGGAGGAAAGCTAGTAATGAATGTTTTTAGACTTTTCCACTTTGGTGAAACCCACAAGCAGACATGGCCCTTACAAACCAAGAAACGTTATTTGGGCAAATCCAGGTTTCGAAACCTACAATAAAAGGTTCCTTGCATGCTTTAAGGGAGGCAACTCCAGGACCAGCAATACCCCCTTGTTCTTCAGTCCGTGGGAAAGTCATTACACCATACCTTCACATACTTCATGTTGTAGTTTATTGATATGCTTATCAACTGTCATATCTAACATTCAACATACAATATGCACACCTTTTGCATACACCATATATGTCGCCAATGGCAGTCCCTCCTTGACTGAAGGACCCGTGAAGATCCGGGGTAGAATAGTTCTTCAGCAACCCATGCTTGCCATAAAAGGCGACTATGCTTGTCATATAAGGCGACTAACGGGATCGGGTGGTCAGGCTTGCTGACTTGGTTGATGCATGTCATCGATCCCAATTGTGTGGATCAATGTTCATGATGTAAATCACTGGATTGTCTGGTCCAGACTTGATTATTTACAGACCACCATCATATAGCTGGAATATTGCTGAGTGCGGCGTAAAACAACAAATCAAACCTAACCTTGACTGAAGACCAATTCTAGTCCAGAATTAACACCAAGTCAAAGGAATTCATACCACAGGGGCATAGACATAGGTGAATTTATTTTCTCTAATTCTCCCTAAATATCAAACATTCCTAGCTGTTCTTTGCAACAAATGTGTACGAAAGATGTCACATTTTCAGGCCAAGATATAACTTTTGTTTCCAAAGATAGCATGACATGTAATATTAATATTCATCTTTATGAAATGATGATTGTCCACTTGGAAGGTGTCAGATAGCTTCACCATCAAAGGATTATGGATATGCTAGTGATAGATGTGCAGGCACTCTTACAACCAATGATTATAGTGCTGGCGATTGTCCGATTCTTTTCAACACAATTTGTGACAAATCAACTTTGTTCTACCTAGGACTATCAGACGTTCGATAACTTGACCCTGGCAGATTCTACACATCAGTGATAAGCTCCCTCCTTGACAATTGGTACATGCTTTTCAGCAGGTCGGTGATAACCTCAGATTGTGTTGAAACATGTACGTGTTTATCTCATTGTATAATCGGAGTACAACCACAACGAACGAGTTCTTTTAGTTTTGCGCCTGGGCAACATTTCCGATAGATTAGTGCTGCTGTTTT